AGGAAGAAGTGGTGCAGAAATAGCCAGCCAATCCACAAGGTCATGGAGGAGCTCTGATCCCATTGCAATGTTGAATAACTTAATGTATTACTCAGTCGGTCCCCCTGTACATCTTTTCTCCTGTGTAAGATGTAAATAGTTGACAAACTCTACACGGATTGCAAGGTGCCTTTTATGTAATGCCTTTCAGAATCAGAATCAGAATCAAAATCGTTTTTATTGCCATGGTCAGTGAAATAAGTTTCAAGGACTAAGAATTTTTTTTGGTGATGGTGCAAAACAAAGAACACGTACTAAATAATAAATAATAAAGTGAAGTATATATAAGTAAAATAAAAGAAATAGAATACAATATATTTAAAAAAAGAGAAAAAAATACTATAAACAATAAAAAACTATACAGATAACTATACTTTGTACATTGGGACAATGGTGGGGGTTGTGCAAAGAAAATAGTGCAACTAGCAAGAGTTGTCCATGGGTTTGTGGTCATTTGATGTTCAAGAGTCTTATGGCGGAGGGTAAAAAGCTGTTCTTGTGTCGGGAGGTTCTGGTCCGGATGGACCGTAGTCTCCTGCCTGAGGGGAGAGGCTCAAATAGTCTGTGTCTAGGGTGGGAAGAGTCAGCTGTGATCCGACCTGCGCGTCCTCATCCTCGTCTTTCAGTTTAAGTTCCAACACTGGATTCAATCAAACAAAGAGGACTTTGATTATAGCGATAAGAAGAGTTTCATGAAGACTGAAGCTATGCTATGGTAAATCCAGAAATATGAAAACATTGATTTAATTCCTGTGCAGCTGTAGGCAAAAGCAGCAAGTTTATTAACGTCAGGTAAATACAACAAAGCCTGATACATTTATCAAAAAAAAAAAAGTTTATATATATAATAAATGGTCTTGTGTCTTATTTCGGGACCACAATATCTGCAGCTGTTTGACTGAGCTCTCACCGTAATGAACAAAATCTAGAAAGCAACTCCTCCATTTCTACTACTTTCTCAGTCATTGAGTTACCTCCTGGTACTCTGGTTTCCCCCACAATACCAAAAAACATGCGGTTAGGTTAATTGAATAATCAAAATTCCCCTTAGGTGTGAATGTGTGTGTTGCTCTGCGACCTGTCCAGGGTGTACCTGTCCCCTGTATGGACGCAGATTACCGGTATATGCATGCAGAAAATTCATGCATGCCCTGATATGTTTAGGCTTTTAAGTTCTTAAACCTCATCTGACCATTTTTCATCTAATCCATGCAGACGTTGGAATTAAAATTTGACAATACAAATCACATTATCTTTGTCCTGACTCTGAGAAGTCCGGCATTTGCAGCAGAAAGAAAGACGTAAGCATTCCTGGGCAATCAGCTGTTGAGCTGCGCAGCTGCGCTAGTGTTGACTTACATTGATAGCAATCAGCATTTTTGCTTAAAAAGGGGGAAGGGGTGTGACGCTCTCATGAAAAGAAACAACGTACATTTTATTGCATTTCCACGTTTGTTTTGGCACCTAAACAAATACGAACTGAAGGCCACTAAAAGAAAGTTTTTATTATCCACTAGATTTTTTGTTGCATCACTAGTGAATAGCTGATGTTACAGTTTCACTGTCCAACCACTTCACTTGTAGGCCATCTCTGAGGAAAAAAAAATTCCGAACCCCCATTCCCACACCCCCGCTCAAAAACAAAAAGCAATTGTTTAAATATACTTTGTGGAACATATTTTCTTTAATTTGCTGTTTAATCTGGCAATTGAAATCAATTAAACATTGATTAATATAAATGCTTCAGATTGATTAATTCTAATTTCAATTGGATAATGCTTGCTTGTTGGATGCTTGTTGTTTATTGGGACAGGGGTTGGAACAGGTTTACTTTACAGTAAAGCAATGTTATTGTGGCTGGTTATTTAAATATCAGTTATTACACAGAGGCAGCATCTCTGGCAGTGGATTGTGATTGGCGTGGGCATAAAGCTGGTTTGCTTATAGAATGCTGAACTTTTGAAACAGCGGTTTCTCTAATCACCCAACAGACAAACAAAATAGCAATTTAATAATGTTTGTGAAAAAAAATGTAAAAACAAACAAGAAAACAAAAAAGTGATGGATTTAAAGGTATTTAGCGGTCAACAACCCCCCCCCCCCATCACTACCACCAGTGGCTAGGACCATGATTGTGTGTGTGTCAATAGCTGGAGTAACACTGGTTATTTCATTGACTATTACTCTTCAGAAAAAATGGGCTATTGTGCTGGAGGAGTTTATTGCCAATCAGACGTGATGACCTGGGTTTGGTTTAAATTTGCACAATTACAGTACAATAAAGCATCTGAATATCCAACACCATCATTCATTACTGGTGTGCGCTTCATCAACAGTCATTCCAAAGAGACGCTCCTCGTAGACATTTGTTTGAAGCAGATCATTACGATTGTACAACTGCACTTTCTCAGAAGAACGAAAATAAACCCAATACTCATTTCCCTCAGAAATCAGATTAAAGTAATCAAATCAGAATGCAACTTGTAGAAACTCAAAGTGTACTATACCAAAAGTATCCAGCGTTTAGCCAATGATACACGGACGGTACGTCTGAGGCAGAGACTAGGTGGAATGTGCTGTAGGTTGAAGCATTTTTATAAACACAATTTGTCCCATTTATAAGCATAATTTGTGGGTTTTTTTATAGTAAAACAAACTGTTGTGTATAGATACTAAACAAATTTCCATTTTCAAATTTGACATCCGAGAATCAATACTTTTGGATAGTAACTTGCCAGAATGTACAAGTTTAATGCGTACGCTACAAATGAAATCCTGGCATTCTGTGAAACTGTGAAATGAGCGCCCACATCAACTCAGCTGGATACCATAAGCCAGAGAATAGCTGTGCCAATATCTGTGACATGGTTGCGGAACGTCTTACTGGCAACTTGACTTCTTGTGATAATCATCAGTACGCATAGCACTTACGTTCCTCCCCACCATTAAAAAACGACTCAGAGTGCCACCAAAAATGACAGGAGATGGAAGGAAGGGGAAGGCCCTCTTCACACATTGTCAGCAGGCAATCACACAAAATATAAAATGTCTAGGCAATGTATAACAGTTTCACACTTAACTGGCATTCTATACATTGCCTGGGCATTCCGTAGAATGCTGGGTTGCACACTTTGACATTAACATATATATATAATAAATGTAGATTTGTGTACATCTACATTTATAGTACATCAATGCCAAGTGACATCAAGGCTAAGCTTTACCATACATAAACAAGATGTTAAACCAATAAAAAAAATATGCAATGTGAACAAAAACAATAGTAAAGAATTGTTTTGCATCTAATGAAAAATGTGACAAAATGTGAATGGCTCTTTGCTCAGTGTCAAGTTGGAATTTGACTATAGGGTCTTTCATCTTCCACTGGTTATGCGGTAAAGAGACTAAAGAGTGGCGCATAATGGGAAATATTGTTTTATAGTGTGCTCACATTGTGAATGGTTTCCTTTTAAATAGGACAGAAACAAAACCTGAAAGAAACTTGGGTTATAGATCATGAGCTCTGCAGGGTAGTCGTGGTATCCAGGGTAGTTCTGGCTTATGGTTATGATTGTGAAGCGCTGTTGGTCACTTTACTACACATCCACATTGCAGAATAGATTTTTTTTGCATTTTTCTATGTATTTATTTATTATATACAAGTTAACGTCCATTTTGGGTCTAGTTGAATGGCTTTGATATATTATAACCTTGTCCTTATGTTAAGTTTGATCATTTGTAATTTTAATTTTGTATTTTTTTTAACAAATACATAGCAAAAGAATATGACCAACTAAAAAGACCAACAATTTAAAGGCAAAATTAACACTGCAGGGTACAGATTATTTTTGTAGGTCTCTAAAGGCATACAAAGACAATTAGCCTCTTATTTATTTGATTTTTTTAATGGCTGTCAGTTAAGGATTTTACAGCTATTTATCACATTATTAACACACCAATAAAAATACCATTAAGCTGCATGAGTTTTCTGGTCATGTATATAGCAGCTCATGTAGATCATTGATAGAGAGAGAGAATAAAACCCTCTTAGAGTTGCTAACACACTTAACCTTAAAGCACTGGGACGGATGCAGGTAATGGATACTACTGTCTGTGCATGTGTGCTTTGGCTTGAACTGGTAATGTAAGTGAGCCAACTACGCATCTCAAACCAATTGGAAGTTAAAGAGCCAGCTGGATTCTTATAGATTTATGGATGATTTATTGAAGTAGTTAAACCACTGTTGTTAAATTTTCTTTTTTCTCATTGTTGCGACCTGGTGCTATGGGAAGGACTTTAAAATGAGAATTGATTTACTCAACCAGGCGAAGCTCCTTCTGAAGCAGCTTCTATTAAGTGTTATGGTGGTCTTACACTCACGTGGGGATTTGTAACTGTGCCGTTGCAGTATTAGTAGTAACTGTAGAAAACTCTGCGATGGACTGGCAACCTGTCCAGGGTGTATCCCAGTAAGCTTGAGATAGGCACCAGCAGACCCCTGTGACCCCGAAAGGGAATAACCCAGTATAGAAAACGAATGAATGAATGAAGTAAAACTATTGCCTTGTGATGGACACATCACTTTGTGGTTGCTGGCTTTTGTGCAGTTTGGGCTAAGGTCAGTGCAGCACAGGACATTTTTTTCTTGCAATTATCAACAATAAATGCATGACTTATTAAAGGTTTTCTCAATAAAATAAAAATGCTTTATTCACTTTTATATGATATTAAATGCCAAATAACGGCTTTAATGGTTGATACGTGCTACTTTAATCACTCACAGTATTCACACAATCTAATTCTAAAGGAGACATCTTCAGTTTTCTTCTGAAAACTGCCATTTTAAGATGTCAACAAGCCAGCGTCAGTCTTTAGAGCATGTCCAGAAATATGGCACAATGCCTTGTTGACCCACCTGATACCGTAGCAGCAGGCTTGGGATTATTAACCACAAGAGGGTGCTTTCCTGTGGCTCAGTCAGTAGGCCATTTCGCTAACAATGCAAAGGTTGTGGATTCAACCCCCACGGAAAACAAGAATGGATTTAATGTGTTTACCTCTTTAAATGAAAGTCACTTTGGATAAAAGCATCTGCCAAAATGTGTAAATATGAATGAAAATGTAGTAATTGTAATCAGTGTAGGTGTATTGTGCTGAAAATAAAACCTAAAAGGTCCTGGGCTGATTTCAGTTTACTTGCAGAAACCAAATGGCAAGTTGACAAGTATAACAAACACTTATGACATACATTGCTACCTCAATAATATGCATAATTGCTTTAATATATCCCTTATGGGGATCTTTATATATATATATATATATATAT